TATAAAGGGCTGTGGGGGGTGTGGGGGGCTATGAAGGGATGTGGGGGGCTCTAGGGGGCTGTGGGGGATGTGAGGGGGCTATAAAGGGCTGTGGGGGATATGGGGGATGTGGGGGATGTGGGGGGGCTATAAAGGGCTGTGAGGGCTCTGGGGGAATATGGAGGGCTGTGGGGGCTGTGGGGGGCTGTGGGAGATGTGGGGGGGCTATAAAGGACAGGGGAGAGTGGAGGGGCTATAAAGGGCTGGGGGGGATATGGGGGATGTGGGGGCTTGGGGGGCTGTAAAGGGTGGGGGGCTGGGGGGGATGTGGGGGGCTATAAAGGTCTGGGGGGGGCTATATAGGGCTGGGGGGGATGTGGGGGCTGGGAGGGGGCTATAAAGGGCTGGGGAGACTGTGAGGGGCTCTGGGGGTCTCTGGGGTGCTATGAGGGTCTCTGAGGGTCTCTGGGGTGCTGTGGGTGCTGTGGGGGGCTGTGGGGTGTCCCAACCCACCCCGCAGCCCCCCGGGTGTCCCCAGGGTGTCCCCCCCGGGGTGTCCCCCCCAGGTGTCCCCACCTGGTGAGTCGGGTCTCCAGGTGGCTGCTCAGGTACTCGGTGGGGCTCAGCGTGTGCCCGAACACGGTGACAGTGGGGACGTGGCTCAGGCTCAGGGACAGCTCACACAGGGTCATGTGCAGCTTGTCCAGGCTGGGGGGACACGGGGCTGTCACCCAGGCTGGGACCCCATGGGGGCAGACTGGGACCCCACAGGGAGAGGGTGGGACCCCACAGGGACAGGGTGGGACCCCACGGGGACAGGGTGGGATCCCACAGGGACAGGGTGGAACCCCCTGGGGACAGGCTGGCCCATGGAGACAATCCGAGTCCCACTGGGACAATCCATGTCCCACGGGGACAATTTGTGACTCATGGGGACAATCTGAGCCCCACCAGGACAATCTGTCCCCCAGGGACAATCCGTGACCCCATGGGGACAATCTGTGACCCCACAGGGACAATCCATGTCCCACAGGACAGTCCATGTCCCACCAGGACAATCTGTCCCACAGGGACAATCCGTGACCCCATGGGGACAATCCGAGTCCCATCAGGACAATCTGTGTCCCATGGGGACAATCCATGACCCCAAGGGGACAATCCATGACCCCATGGGGACAATCCGAGTCCCACCAGAACAATCTGTGTCCCATGGGGACAATCCATGACCCCATGGGGACAATCCATGTCCCACTAGGACAATCTGTCCCACAGGGACAATCCATGACCCCATGGGGACAATCTGTGACCCCGTGGGGACAATCTGTCCCATGGAGACAATCCGAGTCCCACCAGGACAATCTGTGTCCCATGGGGACAATCCGTGACCCCAAGGGGACAATCCATGTCCCAACAGGACAGTCCATGTCCCACCAGGACAATCTGTCCCACAGGGACAATCCATGACCCCATGGGGACAATCCGTGACCCCGTGGGGACAATCCGTGACCCCACAGGGACAATCTGTGACCCCACAGGGACAATCCCACTGTGTCCCCATGTGGCCACCACACCCAAGGTCTGGTGGCCGCCGGTCCCCACCAGCCGCCCCGTGACCCCACAAGGGACAATCCCCCCTTGCCCCCAGGTCCCCCTTTGTCCCCCCGGTGCCCCCCATCCCAGTGCCCCCCCGGTGCCCCCCGGTGCCCTCACTTTGTGGTGAGGGTCCTGTCCCTGCGCCGGCTCTCGGTGCCCGGTTTGTCCCTCTGGGGCTCCCCCTTCTTGGGGGGCTGTTTCGGGGGTTTCTTCCCTCGGGCTCTGCTGATGGTGGCGGCGCAGTGCTTGGGCAGCAGCTGCCAGGGGGCACGGGGGTCAGGGGGGCACAGGGACCCCCAAAGGGGGCACCGGGACACCCCAAATGGGGCCACCGGGACCCCTCAAATGGGGCCACCAGGACCTCCCAAATGGGGCACGGGGACCCCCTAAATGGGGCCACCGGGACCCCCCAAATGGGGCCACCGGGACCCCTCAAACAGGGCCACTGGGACACCCCAAACAGGCCACTGGGACCCCCAAACAGGGCCACTGGGACACTCCAAATGGGGCAACCAGGAGCCCCCAAAGGGGCCACCAGAACCACCAAAATGGGGCCAACGGGACCCCCCAAATGGGTCCCCAAAGCCCTGGAGACCCCAGAAGTCCCCAGAGATCCTCGAGGTGCTGGAGATCTCAAGGTGCTGGAGACCCCAGAAGCCCCCAAACCCTAAAGACCCCAAAAGTCACAGAGACCCTGAAGGCCCCCAAAGCCCTCAGAAGCCCCAAAGCCCCAAAAACCCTGAAGACGCCAAAAGCCACAGAGATCCTGAAGCCCCCAGAAGCCCTGAAGACCCCAAAGGCCACAGGGATCCCAAAAGTGGTGGAGTCTCAAGGTCACGGAGACCTCAAGGTGACGGAGACCCCCAGAAGCCACAGAGACCCCGAAGCTCCCAAATCCCCCCGAAGCCCC